TAGAAGACAAATAACAGTAATTTTTTCACGACAAATTAAGACAAATTTTACATCCGAGATAGTCATCGTTTTCGTTAGAAATCTTAGAAAAATCAATTGTTGTACTAAAATTAAATATAATATGATAAGTAATAATAAAATATGCTATTATACCTGAGACTTTGTTTATTTATCGCCTCTGTTGAAATTAGTCTTTAGAAACCAGTTCACCCATGTAAACTTGCCCAAACAAGCTTTTTTCCGTCCTAGATCATTTCTTGAAATGTTTCCTTCTTGTCAGTTACTCGATCGGTGGTCGAGAAGGATCCTATGCAATACTGCGTACGTGAGATCCTTGATCGAGAAAGCGGGAAATTTACTCGCCCGTGACGCCGGAAATGCTCTGCTCTGCATTGTGTAGATCTCGCGGCATCGGCTGACGTCAAAAACAATCAATTTCGTTCTTTGAATAATTTCGTTTTCAAGGATTTTTACTGTGTCATGATGCTACTAGAAAAGAGTTAACTAATTTTGTTTCATCTCAACATGCAGTGAACAATAAAATGGCCTGACCACTTTTTGAACAAGATCCTTGCTGAAAATTAACTACTTTATTACTAATGGCGGCCTGGAATGTTCGAGTGTTCAGAAGTAAGCTTTACAACAGACGATTCTTTACGCAATCTACGTAAGAAAAGCCTTATACAAGTCGGTTTTGATATTAAACGTTATTTTTGCAATAACGTTCATTGTATATACAGGTTTTCTATTTGATTCTTGTCTTTGGGTGTTCTTAACTTGATTATTCTTCACGTACAGTGAACAATAGAACTTTTCGTCAAGGTTTAATGCTGTTAGCCTTTTTGCTCCTTTTTTACTTGCTCTTCCAAAACATTTCTTAGACAAGCGTGATGGTAATTACGTTAATGTACATTCTTCATTGGAATAATGCAACGTCCTGTTTCCACATATTCTTTTCAATAATTTCGTTCTCGAATGTTTCTCCTAAATTATAACATTATAATTGCGGGTGAAGCAAGTAACTTTGACTTCCAATTAATCCTTCCTGGAGAAAATTGACAAAAAGTACATGTCAATTTAAAATATAAGCAGGCTAGCATGAGCCTAGATTTTTCAAGGCACCGGGCATAAATCTCTGACCTCAATAGAAAATAACATCTCGGGGCAAGCCTCGAAATAAAAAATTCAGAAAAATTGCGAAATGAAATTTAAACAAATTGCTCGTATGGCCGAGTTGTTATAAGATCGCCAAGATTGGAGCAGCTAGTTTGGGGTTTGAAACTTGTCACTGTTGGTAAAATTTTTGATAGAAATTGTCACGGTGGCTTCGTACATAACCCTTCAGCGGGCAAGTTACCATAAATGGATAATGAAGACCTTAGCCAAAAAAGATCCGGTTTGCATTTGGGGCTATATACGTCATCCTGCTTCTGTCGTACCTCTAGTCATCTGCCCACCATCTGCATGCAGCATCCCCCGCTACCGTGCACAAGCATTGGAATAAAAGCACTTTATTCAGAATTTACCCTCAGAATACGAAATAAGCACTTTTTCGCATTTTCGTATAAGTCAGAAGCAGCAATATTTACTCCACTTAATAATAATGGTTTGATGAAATTTAGCCAAATTTGAGTTCGATAGTTTCTCTTTAAATTTGAAGCTTCAAGTTCAAAACATGTCAGAATGTGTGAGATTTCATTTGATTGCATTTGTTGAGTTTGTAGAGTCGAATTTATGTTAGATATTTTGGTGCAGCAGGTATACAAAAGCTTAACAATATTTATTTGTGAGCTCCGAATTTTCGAGTGCAGCGCGATTTCGTAGCCAGTTTACCGCCAGTAGGTCTTCGTCGAATCGAAAAAATTTTACGATTGCAAAATTTAACATTTAAAGCGACGATAATAAATGCGATGGTCAACTTTTGGGGAGCTTGAAGATTTGAGTGAAATAAAGGAAATAATTAGTGTAAATCAGTTTTGTATCCTTGACGACTGACTAATTATTATATTAAGATCTATTAGAGTCATATCAAAGCAGAAGAGTTTAACTCGTTGTGAACACCGGAATTACGAACTGAGGTCTGGTAGATCCTGCTGAACAATTCAAGATTTAAGAGAGTGCCTAAATTTCCATGTTATAACTGTACAATGTGTGGGTAGATTTGCACCAATGCAATCCGATAAAAGTACAATGGTATATTTGTAGCGTATAGCTCAAAGAAAAAACAAATAAACCGATTGTTAATAAAAAACATACTCTGGTCTTCAATCAAACTTGCATAAAAGAAAAGCTCCTGCTGAATTACACCACATATGAATTTCTGCATAAATCTATGTTTGCCCGCTAAATTATAAGTTAAGAATCAGCAATTGGCCAACATGGCAAAATCCTAGCTACCACCACAGTCCACAAGTAAAAGTTTTCGACCTAATCATAAATCCTATTAACTTTAATGGCGCTGTTGCTCCCAAAAATTAATTAATCCTACGAAAACATTACAGACAATCGCAGGTCCCCTCGATTTTCTAACAGCTTGTAAATACTGTAGAGTATTATACGTGAAAGAAGAAACCATAACAATACCAATTACTTTAATCACGACGCCCAGAGTCGTCTTATACAAGCTGTATATCAGCTTGTAAAAGATATACCTATAGTCTTCCAAATTCCTAAAAACACCCTCGGTGCACAGGTTTCTGCAAGAGCCATTGCAAAAAAAAAGTGAAAGGTTTTAATATCCCAAGGTACACAGATAGATTTCGGTATTCCAATTTTGCATCAACGAAAAAAACCTAAATAGTAAAAATTCATTGATGAAGGTAATTATCGTGGAATACGATTTTTCCTTTTCCTTGTTGGCAATGCGTAGATGATGCCTTTAATACTTAATAAATTAAATAATAATAATAATACTTAATAAATAATATTAATATTTAATAAATTAAAGAAAGGCATAATTAAAAATTATGTCAATAATACTTAACACCACTTGTAACGTAATTTATGTAACTTTAACTACCTTCAACTTAGATAGGCAAAATTTGCCTATTTATGCGACAACATCAACAATTTTTAAATATTTAAATGTTTGATCAACGACTTCTCTGTAATCATTTTTTGAGTTCGCGCAATATTCCTGTTATTCATCGGTAATAAAGAGTAAATTATGCGTAAAAAACATTTCGTAAAGTTCGTTAAAGTGACATTAAAATTATCATTCAATTTCATTTAAAACATTAAATGGAATCATAAGCCCGTGTGCGCGTGCTTGAAGCCTCATTCCCTTTAGTCGCTCTAGCGCACTGGGCGCTGCATTGAGTGGAGCTAGGCATTGGTTCGAGCTTTCGGAAGCTCAATTAACTTTTCGATGCCGCTGGTGGGAGGCGTGTGGCAGTCGTCGAGGGTAGTGCTGTCAGCATGGCTTTCGATTAGTGTCCTAAACGCACTTTAGGTACGTATTACCTCAGGGGGTCGAAAGGTCTTACGTGTGAACAACTGCTTGAAGGGAACTAAGTGAGATTTTATGCACTAAAATTGAGGAAAGTGACAAGAGTCAAAGTACAAAAATTTTATTTAACCACTTGAGTTAATCGGAATAGTACTCCGGACCCAGACTCCTCCAAGTTCCAGACATCTTCCACAGGTTCTTCACTCTGCTACTCTGGAGAGGCTTACGCTCGAAGACTCAATTTGCTAAACCGAATATGTCTCACACCGGTCATATATGTAAACTGTCTGAAGGTGCGCAGCCGTAGGCAACAAATTTAACTCTTAAACTAGGCCTGTAGGCTGTAGGAAATGCTCAAAATAAACATGCATAGCTAAACTTAGCACCAGACCCTTGAAGCTGCGGACCGCCATAGAAACACCCCAAGTCATACCAGATCCGCGACGTCTTGAAGCCTTAGCACCGTATGTCTGCAGCCACTGATTCAACCAGTATATTCATGGTATCATTATTTAAGTGACTTTGTTGATATTCTTATATTTACACTCGCTGCATATGTGAATTACCACACACATTTAGAGTGTTATACCTATATAAAAATTTCACGTTTTTTCTTACTGAAAGTTCGTTTTCTTCGAGAGGTTTCTGAGGCCATTCTAAACTATAAATCATGGGGCGAACATTTTCCCATTCCTCCAGTAATAGATTCATGAAACGATACTTCGTTATGAAAATTTTTATTAATCTATTACCTTAAAAATTGTTTCATAGAAAGGAATGAATAAAAAATAGAAAATTTTGCTGTTTCTTGATTTGTTTAAAGTAATCCATGAATTAAAGTGGAATTTAGGCTGATGTGTATGCCTAAAAAGCGCAGTTGCTTTAAATCACGAATGCTATGAAATTTCTTCAAAATATCTTTTAAAACCCAAAAATGAGCCCACAGGTCATTCTTTTCCAGATTTAAAATGCGCATGATTTCCAGTTTAATAGACCAACAATCTTTTGGAACCTCTGCTTAATTGTAAAGAATCTTAAATCTAACATGTACTACTGCTTAGAATCGAGATTTCTTACTATTTTCTTATATAATCGAGATTTCGATCCCAATATCTTACTTGGATAATTTTATTGAGTGTTCATGAAAATATTCATTGGCTTCTTATAGATCGTGAAGCAAAATAAAAGTTTCAGCCAAATGATAGTCCAATAGATTATCTACAATAGGTAAACACACTTCACAAGCTAATTCACGGAGTAATGCTATTCAACTTTGCCATAAATATATAATGCAACACTTATGCCAATTTTTCAGTTTGTATGCAATAATTTCATTAAGGAATGAAATTTCTATCTTCCACAATTATATCAACGGGAATAGCTAATAGTGCTCTTTTAATTAAGATTACTGGTGTCGGAAATACGTCGCTCAATTCATGTGATAACGTATAATTAAAAAAAAACATTTGAATATAAATAACAACAAATATGCACGGTGTCACCCGTAGACGGTTTGCCCCCAGTGATAAGCATTGCTTCTATTGTCCCACAGTGGCCGCGCGAGGAGAGAGCGGCATGGATATAACGGGTCCGGGGGCGCCCGAGCTGTGCTGAGTCACGGTGAGTACAATGTGCCTGAGTGTGGGCTCCGTATAGGAGAGGTTCGGCAGTGTGTCGGTTCTCTTCGTGAAGAAGCTACAAACTGACAGGCACTCTGCAGAGCATGTCTGCAGGTTCGAAGGGAGGAAGGTAATAAATAGGTCACCAGGGATGCAAAGTATTTACCTACGTAAATAAAAATTGTAAGTTTGTTGAAAAACGAAAAAAATACTTCTAATTTTTTGCGGATTCAGTTGAATTTCAAGCTCATCTCAAAATTCCACTTGTTTCAGTTGATAACGCATTATAATAAGATCAGTATTCTTAATAACGCTGGTGTCCAAGTAAATTATCCTCAATGCGTTCCGCATAATTTCTTCCTTTTTTGTGCAATTTGTGTATTTTCTGCCGCTACCAGGATAAATGAAGTTTGCTGACACAAGTTCACATTCACAATTTATTTTCAAGTTGCCTGCACTGAAAGAATGAGTAGCGAGTATGAAAAAAGAGTCATCCATGCATGCTTTACTCGAAGGTTTACTATAAAATGCGTTGTTCTTTTTATTTCAATTTTTGGATTATTCTCTACTTATGTAACGGTGTCATTGCTTGGCAATCGCATGAAACTGATCCAACCTGAAGAGTACGACACAAAATTTGAAGCAAAATTCTACGTGGAGCATCCCCTGCGTTCTAATAAGGATGCGAAATTGATCATGCTATGGACTAACAATTACAGCGAAGATGAGAGCGATCTAGCTTCTATCTCAAAACTTACAGAGACGATGAGTGCCAAAGCGAAATGCGTGTTTTCAACAGACAGAAGATTTGTCAGAGATGCGAAAGCAGTTGTTTTTACCGGTGAAAATTTCGATATTCATGACGTACCTATCGAACGGGCCTCGGAACAAATATACGTGTGGTACAATCTACAGCCACCAGGAGTGTATGATCTCAAAGGCAAGCGGTCTCTCAAGAGTTTGATGGCTGAAGGGAACACAGGTTCGCTCGGCTTCTTTAATTGGACTGCCACGTACTCCCAAAGCTCAAATATTGTCGTAGCGCCCCGAGTGGCCGCCCTGGCCAGTCGTAAGTAGCGACGACGTTTAAATGTAGTGTTTGTGATGAATTAATTGTGATATGTTCGTTTTTCAAATAAGCCAGTAACGAAATTTTTATGTAAATAATTTTTTCACGCTTCTCCGTACATAAGATATAGGAGACATCCGGCTTGGCTTGAAGCTTAAAAAATTTAAGTGACGGCTATCTAGGGTTTGCTCCGAACGGAGTAAACCTTAGATAATATCATAAATAATGGTTTTATTGTCATATAATGTAAACAAATTCCGTCCATTAAAGAATACGGAGCTGCCGTGACCTTGCAGTATTCTGAAATAATTTTTCTTCCAGATGTTTCGACGACGAAAAAATTCCTGCTCAAAGGTCTCAAAAAGAAGCTCGTGGCTTGGTATCCACCCGAGTGTGTAACGGATTCTGGTGAGGTTTTCAGTTATTATTTGTGGCTATTAAATTATTACTCGTATGAAAATTGATCTCCTCAGCTGATCGCCCCTCTTTTAGTTTGCAAGACCTTCGCTGGCCAGGTAGAATCATTTGATGATCAGGCAATTAATTTGTTCAAGGCGCGTTTAATTTCAGTTTTTCAGCCTTCACAATCGATTTCGATGAAAAATCCCAAGCAGAGAAAGTGGAGAAAATGTGGAGCCAACGTATTTCCCTCCATATTTTTAGCGTATCATAAATTTTCCATTTTATAATGTGTAAATTTAGATGCATATCTATAATACAATTACATTAGAATCAACCAAACCTCATTGGCCTTCCGCTGAAAATAGCGCGACACTGTGAACAACGCAGTTGTGTAACTCATGCAAATTCAATTCATGTCGGCGCTCATTCCGTAATTAGAAATTTATTTGGAGCAGCATTTCATTTCACAAATGTTACTCGTCAAATTCGTTCATGTAATTAATAGCCTATTATGACTAATCATGCATAATCATCCATTGTGGTCAATTTCAGGAAGAGAAAAAATGGGGAAGAAACTGGCAGGCTTACAAGTCGACGTCTACGGACGATGCGGCACTGAAGTGTGCCCAGCTCACGGCTGCTGGCAGTACCTGTCAATGCGCTATATTTTTTACCTTAGCTTCGAAAATAATCTCTGCATTGATTATATTTCTGATCAGGTAAATGAATACAGGGCAAATTTAGACCTGTTCCTGATTATGGATTTCTATGCGCATCCCTTTTGTACTAACCTTCACTTGTTAAGATTTGGAGTCATCTAATTTTGTCCAGTTTGTTCAAGTTGCCAATGATTTCCCGTCAGGTTCCTCTTTTCCCGCCAGGTTCCTGTTCTTGAATACTATATAGTATTGGTAATAATTTTGATTTCAAGTCATTTTACTTACCGTCATGTTATTTATTCCAGGTGTGGGAGCCACTGAAAGCAGGCCTCATCCCCGTAGTTTACGGAGGAGCAAATTATACCAGGACTTTGCCACGTAATTCCTTCATCGACGCCAGGGAACATAGTGCAGCCAACCTAACGTCCTTGCTGATCAAGTGAGCAATTCAGCATCAATATTTATAAGCTAAAACAACCTCTGTACAAGGACATTAACTCTATTCCTCCTGTCATTCCTTTTGTCTACAAGTTTCTGTGTTACTATAAAATAACTGTTACATGTGATACCTGCAGTCTATTGCCAATTGGGTGTATTATTACTAATGGGCCAATTATTATTATTATTATGTATTGTTCAACAGCAATTGTATTACATTCTTTGCAATGCATTACGTGCCCATATAAATCCGATCGCTCGCTCTGAGGCTGCTTAAGATTTATGCTAGTCTGTTCAACTCCTGAAAGATCAATTTTTGTGCAATTGATTATTTTTCAAATGCACTGTATATGAATGCTTTCCTCACACATGTTAGGCTTAATACACACCATGTTCCAGTTTTTGAAACATCGGTGAACAATTTGTATTCCACAATTGGCAATCATTGAATGAATGACTTTTTACGAAAGCGGGTTCGTTTCGATCAATGAACTCAAGCAAAACGGCTGATGTTATCAAATTCTAGAAGTATGTGCTATTTAGTCACTGTTTACTTACTAATGTGGCAAATTCTTTATTCATCTGTTCCAGGTTATCATCTAACTCTTCAGAGTTGGGAAAATACCACGAGTGGCGGTCATTCTTTACTATCGAGAACGAGGATTTTTACGGTCAACTGTGTTCTAAGGTTCATGAGATTAGACGAAGACCTTTTTGGAGTGTCGCAGTTCAGCCAGCGCAGAACCTCACCAATAATCCTTTACACAAGTGGTGGCTGAATGTAAACAAATGCTGGACGGATTATCCTAGGAAGCGAGTCAATAGTTACGCAGCTAATGTGGGATCCGTTTTGAAATTTATTAAAAAGTTGCAAATGATTTATTAGAACGAATCGTTGAACCAAACAAAATTTTCAGATTATTTGTTTTTTCCGGTGTTCAAGTACCTACATGTACCACCATGCAGGTACAGTTCAGGGTGAAGTTATATGTGTATATAATTATATTGGTAGAATTAAAGAATGATAATTTATGATAAATTTCAATTCGTTAAGAATAACTTGTGGCATTTTCGATTTTGAATTTAAATTGAGAATATTGTGTTGCAGTGAACTATGCACTCAAATAGCTCCCTTGCATGCGCTGCCATATTTTGATCAATTTCACAAAGAAGTTTTAATAGTAGTTATTAGTTTATACTATACTTCAATTAGTTAGATAGTCCCATATATAGCGACGTGATTATTATTAAATTTTTCCCGACAATTGCTTTTGTAATTTTTTTTTGCTATATTTTTCTTTTCTCTTCCTTTTTTTTAAACTAGCAATTACTATTGATATTATATGGCAGTTTCTAATGTATCATCTCTGACTTAATTACAATAGTTTTTACCAGGTATTTTCAAAAATATCAGTTCAGAATTTGTACTTTATTTACAAAATTCTTTATCATAGCACGACGAACAGCAACAAGTTTCAAACAATCAGTAAAAACTTCAACAAACAATAATTCGAGCGCAAGTGTAGAAAGTTGCAAGAATAACAAGAAGGTCAACAAACAATTAATCGATGCGAAAAGAGTAACAACAGAAATGATTTTTTACCTCTAACAAACTTTTAATTATGACCAATTATTCATAAAATTTACTTCATAAAATCTCGTTTGCAGAAAATTCCGAACAAAGTCAATAAAATGAGTATTTTTTTCTTATTTCGTCGTACCTGTTTGATAATCGTCTATTATTCATTGGACTCGATCTTGGAAGCACGCTTTTCATACGGTTACATGGGATCAACATTATTAAAATCTACTCGATTTGAGCGAGAATACATTCTTAGAAAGTAACAATTATTGTCTCGTTCTCTGTAGAGAAACGGAACACTTACAACTAAATAATTACCAACACTTCCAAAATCAAGAACTCATCACTCTTTGGAAGATAAATATTCTCTAGAGACTATGTACAAAACTAATTGCGGTGGAGCACACTTCATGCATCAGTGCTTTTTCCAGATTATTAAGATTTCAAATCAGTAATTCTATATTTGTTCGAATTTGTTCAAATCATATTTCCGTTCTATTGGTATCCAACTCTGTTAAATGATTCGGTAAAAAAACATTCAAACCAACACCTGTGTGCGCTGCGCTAGTCATATTTTGGGATGACTATCCTGTGGATTTCTTCGTCTACTTGACCTGTTGAAGAGTCCAAAAGGCAAGCTCGTCCTTGTACTGACCGTGGTTGTATGGTTTGGCGGTTGCAAGCTCAAAATTAAAGCTTCAGCTAACTTTTTACTGCTACTATTATTTTTGCTGAGTAAAAAGTGATCAGTGTTGAGCACCGTCGTCACGTTGGCCTTTTCCATCACTGATGTATAGGACATTGAGACAGACGTGGATGTTGAGGTTGAAGTGGAGTACTCTGGGGATTCAGTGAACACTTCCTGCTGTTGTTCTAAAATGGAAGAAGTTAGTAAGGGTAAAACCGTAGTGGTAGGAGGAAGGGTGCGAAGGAACTGCACTGATGGAACTGGCCGAAAACGTTTTCCCGACTCACTTGAAAATTTCAGTTTGCCTCGACTTGTTTTGTGTAATTGCCTGTTCAGTGGGATGTTTTGGTTATTATCAGTATAATTTTGTAAATTATAGGTGTTAGATTTGACCATCCGAGAATTTCTTATTTGAGGAAAAGCTGAAGCTGATTGGGGAGGCAAAAGTTGTGTTAATCGCTGTAAAATTTGTGAAGAAGGGTTAGAAAAGGTTTTAAGTCCATGCGCTTCGGTTTTCTCATTATCTGATTTGATGCGAAGTTGGTTAGTTGTTGATTCCAACGGGGTTAGTGACGCAGAGCCTGTGAATAAGCATTATTTGAAGGTTAGTAATGTCTGCCATGTTAATGTGAGAATCATATGAGCGATTGTTTGAAATGCAGTCATACTGTGCCGTATTTTTTCCGTAATAGCAGTAAAGTTATGCGGCAATGGGAATGTTGCCTGATCAAACTTTCATGAGTGAGCATCGGTAAATTGATGATTATTATCATGGATTGGTATGATAAATTTATGAATGGCAGGTGGGGTATTTTAAGGGATGCAGAGGATCGGAAAGTTTTATGGTTAGTTACCGGTATTAGTATTCTCTATGGTATCTTTCTTGGAGTTTAAGCGAGCTCCGAATGGTATTCCTGAATCGGTGTCAGATGCATAGTTAGTCCCTTTGATTTGACCTGGACTGATTGTAGTCGTGGAACTTGTTACCCGAGTTCCTTTCACGCTGTGGGCAAAATAAAATTCAATATTAAGAGTAATATAAAGTCTGGTTGCAAAAGAGAAAACGCTTCTAAATAAACATGCATGAAGTCTGCCTTCTTTCTTCAAATTTAATTAATGAAACAGCTGAGAGAAATTTACATATTAAGGCAGGATCCAAAAAGTTTTACTGTGCGTGTACAAGATTAGGAGGAGATATTAAGAGGTAGTCGAAGAACTCTCACTGTGATTTATTGCCCAATGGACGCCAAAATAAAATATGCGAAAATATTTTTAAAAAATTAAACCACTGTTGGAAACCATGTACCTAACCATGAGTACACATCCAAATAACCCAAGTTATGCCACTCAGTGCCGCAGTCTGTGATTTAGACCTCGAGAAACGTGCTATTTTCATTTGAGTTAACCTGGAGTTCGTTTTGGTTGCCGTCAGCAAGCACATAATCAAATTACTTACATCAGTCTCTTCGACCCAGACGTTGATTGTTCGTTGGTACTGTTCTCGATAATGTCATCCGTATTTAAAAGTTTAGCGCGTTCGTAAATGGAAACAGTTGTGGAGGCCTGAGTCGCAATTTCAGTAGAAGCAGTCGGGTCCGCTGAGTCCAATTGCAATCCTTTTTTCACGTTTTTTTGCTCACCCCGACTCCTAGGATTGAAGTTAGACGCCTTATTCACAGGCCTCACTCGTCTGCGACGGACTCCAGGTCGTCGTACAACAGGTCGAAGTCGAATTGGTCGAGTAGTTGTTACAACTTCAGTCGAATTTTCATCGCCAGCATCGTCGTAATTATTTTTAGATTTAATTTCACTTGGATCAAACCTAATTGCCGGCCTTGAAGTGGTAATAGGAAGCGTTGTCGACTTTAATGTGGTACTATTAGTTGGAATTGTTTCAACCGAGAATGACGCCTGTAACTGCTGGACCGTCGTGGGTAATTTGGTAGGATCGTCAGTAGCCGTGGTTACTTGAGTGGTCAGTCGAGTGATGATATTTTCATTTGCGTCACTTTTACTTTTCTCGTTCTGAGATTCTAGATTATTACCTGATCCTTTGTTTTGTGTGACGGTTCTGGTTGATCGTTGTGGATCACTTCCTTGAGAGCCGAAGTTAAAGAAAACTTGTTGACCAGGTGCGGTATATTGAACGCTCGGTTCTTGAGAACCCGCAGACGCTGCGGTACGGGAAGGTCCTTCCACTCGAGCCGAGGAAGTAACTCTCACCGATTTTATTCTTTTCCCCGATGCTTTAGCAACAGAATCAGGTTGGATGACGCTCAATTTGTTCGGACTTTGCAAACTTTCAGTGTTGATACTGGAAGAGGTGCTCAAATCGTCAGGAAGTCGGGAGCTGGAAAAATGGCCAAGGACAGTGTCAAGCGTGCCGATTTCAACTTCATAAGGAGGTTAGTCCGATCCCAATGTAGTTAGTAACTTGCAGCGGAGCCGAAGCGATGTTAGGAGATGGTTAGTGAGGTGAGTGATGCTTTTTTTCTCTAATCTGTTAGTCGAGGTACTTGGCCTCACACGGGTAACAGGTTGCTTGAACGCAGTCTGGATAGTCCAACTTTCCATATCAATTGGGCATTCCCGTATAACAATTTTAACAGGACTCTTTTGATTGCAGTTTCCCACACTCACGATGAAAATAAAAAGCCAAATATAAAAATGAGCAAATGGATATAAATCGTTAAATCAGTTCGAAATAAGTCTACCATCCGCTCACGCGCGCAAAATCTGAGGAAGGTTTCTGTATGAGCTTCAAACTTCAAACCATGTAATTACGTAGAAGTTAGCTTCAAGATAATAATTTAGACACGTTTTCATTATCTATAGGGTACGTTTTTCAGAACTTTCTAAGAGAAAAGTTCAAATAGAAAAACTAATAGGAATATAATAAGATTTGTCTGATGAGCATTGTATGTGAGAATTTTAAAAATGAATTTGGAACAGTTTAGTAGAAAACGTATCTTATTTAGCATATTTTGACAATTAATCGATGGCGAAATGACTCCAGAAATTATTGATACCTGTAGCAAGTTAAACCATGCGTGCCGTTAAACAATGAATTTTTAATAACATTTTCTTTTTTGTAGCCTTGTCAATCAATCGAAATATCAGGCGGTTGATGAAGAATTTTATCTCCAATAAAATGAAAATTTTGCGATTTATTTCACTCCTAATCCCCGAAATGAAAGAAATGTCCAAAAATATCCAAACCTAATAAATGTTGATCGTATATTTCAGTTTTTGCGCTCTTAAATAAATAGTTTTAAGATCCACATGCAGTTCCAAATTATGAATCCTATAATATATTTTTATCGTCTGATTCATGAGGTAAAAAATTCCTCGCTGAACATAAACATATTAGGATTATCATTCCAGCTACGTGAAATACTAGAATAAACACATAAAGCAATAATTATTAATCTATATGAAGCTATTGAATAGTTCATTATTCATGCAATTTTTTACTGGATTACCTTTCTGCAATGGCTCTGCTCCGATGTCGCTGGGATGTTCTTGCAGGAAGAGTCACAGTGCCCAGGAAACTTGATCCCCTGCAATAGTGACGGAAAATATCTAATGCTGCCTCATGATATGTTCCGTTTATGGATGGTCATCTCACAGGAGACGAAATTAAACTAATAGGTTACTACTCTACTAGTAGGGACTTTCAATACTTGGATTCCATTGAAAACTTATAACTCCGGTCCTATTTGCAAATAACAATAATGAAACATAATATAACAAAACATTTCATCAATTTATGTGCTGCAATTGTCCGTTATGTACTCGCTTACTATAAAAAACAATTCGATTTAGAAGTAAATAAAATCAATATGTAGGATTGTGGAAAGCATACATTTTAGTCTGTATTGTAGGATGTCTTAGTCTTTCCGTTTTTCTAGAGCGTTGCATTCTTAAATACTTGATAATTTGGTGGTCGTAACTGATTTACGCTAAAATTTTTAAACAACGGCAGTTCTCAGGAAAGTCTAAAAAATATTCCAACAGGCACGTCTGGAGCTGTAAAGAGCATAACTTGGTTGGTCTCAAAGCGTCCGTAGTAATAAGTGAGATATTGAAGTTCATGAGAATTTAATTGTTTAGTTAAATATTAAACTTGGAAATTCTCAGCAAAAATCGTCCGTGTTGGAATCATTTACACATTCTTAACCATGCGCAATAAATCCAAATAGATTGTCATGCTCGAGATCTTGAAACTTTCCTGATCATTGATGAATAAATCAGAGGTCACTGCAAGAGCTTAAAAATAGCAGTCTGTCACGATGCTTACTCAATCAAGGAGCCCTTGAATGGCACGTCAGAATCAGTCGAGCTGTAACTGAAAAAAGAAACCTTCAGAAACCAAAGTCCTTGTCCACAGTCATAATAGGTTTCGACAGTTTGACATGGAAGGAAAATATAACAGTGAAAGAACTATTTAAAATTACTCATAAGATTTTAAATATCGTCGGTGGATATGAAAAACCAACTGTGTGAAAAGCAATCCACAGTTAAGCACAGAATAATAGATTGAAGCAAGAACCATTCGCCCTCTCACGGACGTTCGGAAAAACTCCGAGACGTAAGCGATAAATTTTGCATTAAATATACTCAGAACTGATAGCTTCCAACACCAATAACATTAAACAAAACCAAGCCACCGTAAAATTCATGGCGTACCGTACCGCATCGCAATTGAGCAACAACCAGGTTCGTATATTTAGTCGTGCTGTGACATATTCTCACTCTTTATCCCTAGAATAGACAAAAACTGTTGGTTGAGTGGAACATAATTTTAAGTCTAAGGAAGAAAGCTTGAAGCGTCTATAGTTTGCGTCTGTTAGATTGAGTTGAATTCTTTTTTTTTCGAGTCTTCTTTTTTCTATTAAAAACTAATTTTGGTCTTTTCAAAAATGCAGCTTTCTATTCACCTGCTTCAACCGTACCTAAAATTGTGAAACATTCCTGTGATTTATGACCTAATATCAAGCAGTATGTTAGAATTCACTTACTTGAGAACTGCTTTCTGTATAGACGTTGACTGTTGTTTGTTGCTACTTCCAGTAAAGGGAGGAAAGACAGGGGGAGAAGAGTCAGTTGGTTTTTCTAATGGGAGAGAACTCATGTCAGGTGTTTTTAGAAGTTTCGCGGGTTCTTTCAATTTCAAATCTTGCTCGGTATCTGGCCCAAACGAGTGCTCCAGCATCTTCTCGAAGGTTAAGAAGTCTTTGGATTCTCCACGGTTGTTGGACCTCAAAGAATTGACATTTTTATTCGAACTAGAAGAACCTTGAGATCGACTCAATCGCAAAAGCTGTGCAGGTTCGATATCTTCGTCGCTAATATCACCATGTGGCAAAACAGTGAATTGGTTGTTCGGTTCAACTAAGCGTGGCTGCGATACAGATACTGGTTGAGGTAGGCTGACTCCGACGACTTGAGGATCAGACACGAATAGCGTTTGAGGCTGACTTGGGTTGCCTTGACTTGCACCCACGAACGACGACTGCCCCAAATTGTTCAAACGAAGCGTATTCTGGAGCTGATCCGAATTCACTGATTGAAATTGCTGAGTGTTTACATTTTGGAACTGTTGAGAGTTGAATCGAAATACTTGGCTACTCGGAAGTTCTGTGGAATCGTCGTCGTTGCTCTCCTTGATTCTAAATAAGCTCTCAGGATTGATCACTTCTCCGATGGTACTTCCCAAAAGGGTTCCCCGTTGGACCGTTGCGCTGCCTCGCTGACCGACTTCTCCTCCAGCATTCACGATGCTAGACGATATTGAGGATTGCGGAGGAGGAAGGCTCACTTGAACTTGTGATTGGGGAATGTTGTCAGAACCAGACAGAAGCTGATCATTTGTGTGAGAATTCGTGAAAACTGGAAGTGGTTGACTTAAAGTCGAGTCCTTCGATGATTTCAATGCACTTCTCACATCGACAGATTCCAGAATGGATTGGAAAGAAGGATTGTGGTTGTCTAGGGACTGGAGTTGCTGCTGATGTCCAATTTGCTCGTTGCTCACGAGGTCAGGTTGCAATTGGCTGAGGGTAACATGCGGGAAACACGTGAACATGCATTCCCAAAACCGTTATCGGAACAAAATCTTTTCTATGAGTCAGTTCACAACAAATCGCAATTATTCAAACAAGCCTGAAATATAGTGCTGACTGAAGAATGCTCGCTCCTATATACAAATTCTACTCACATCAGGATCATGCAGCCTAGAAATCGGGTTGATCATGCAACTCACCAACGATTGTTAGAATAATACAGAGGAACAACATACGCTTCTCTCTCGTCAAGTCCAAACCTCCATTCGCCTCTAGATACTGAACAGTTTTGTGTCCACTGTCTACGCCACTGATGAGTATGTTTTGTCAGGTAAATTTTTCTCACTGAAGTTGCTTAGTTCGTAAATGTTCATAAATTGTGTTATTCCGTCAAAATATGGATACGTGAAAAAGGCATTCTGGGATATGATGTAAGATACCAGCCAGCTAAAATTTGTAATAATTGTTTCGGATGAAGAATGAAACAAAAAATATTACACTGGTCCTCTTCACTATTAAGTGTAGCTGGTTACGACGGCTTTGCTCCAAGCGGCATGTTACTCAAATTTGTAAGTAAATTAAATAAAAAACAATGATAAATTTTACAATCCAAGTTATTTCTTCGATACTTTGTAGGAGACATTATTAGTGCCTTTATTTACCAGGGTCAATTAGCAATGTGAGATAAACCATTACTGTATCTCTGAATAAGCATTTACATATCGATTTGCTGATGGAGTAAGAACCAACAAATTAGTTTTATACATAATCCGGGGTTAGATATTCTGATGGTAATTAGTGCTTCGCCGTCATTAGTCATTCTCCGTGCTTCTCGTTAGATAAACTCAACGATCTTACTTTTGTCATGATAAGCCCCCAAATATTAACAAAGGCTAAAAAATTATTTCTGATTCCTATAAATGGAATGTCCGCAGTATTGACGAGTAGGCAGTCACTGATTCAACTTTTTTTTTGTAATGAATCACTGCTGCATATCTGCAAGTTCTATGGAGCAGCGCATCATTTGGGTTAAATCTAGATAAAAAAACGACCAGAATATTTCTATACTCACCATACAAAAGATTCGGAGTAAATAACTTAACGTAATCGAGCTTGAGACTCGGATACTACCTGAGGTTGCGACAAACTAACTGACCCTTGAGATTGGAGATGACCGGACGACTGTTCCTGAAACGTGTGCTGGCTCAAGCCTGATCCGAAGTTTTGCAGCTGTTGAATTTCAGGCAAGTTTGACAGTCCGTTGTTCTCGCCGGAGAAAAATCCTTGAGAATCGCCTCCAGAGAACCCGACAATTTGAGGTTGTGAGGCGCCAAGGAACTGAGGTTGCCCAACACTCAACACTTGAGGCTGAGAAAGAGACACCACTTGGGGAGGATTCGGTGTCCCTTGACTGGAGTGGATGAGTTGTGGTTGAGATAGCTGAACATTTTTGTTAACGAATGAAGGCTCCAGCTTGTGAACATTAGGCAACTCTACGAAAGAGTCCGGGGATGGAGCTGGTGAAGGAGAAGCCGCAACAACAGGCGCAGCCGACACGGAACTCCTCGTTGAGTGGATGAGCTGCTGGGGACTTGTAATCTCAACTCCAGCGTTGGAATCCGAGATTAGGCTGGAATAGTCAAAGCGATTATGTTAGTTAACCTACATATTATTACTTCCACGATATTAAATGAAGAAAATTTTACTCTAATAATATACTATTATTCCAATTTTTCAACACTTACGATATTTTCTCAGATCCACATGAAGAAGTGCAGATGAAACCCGATAGTTGAAGCGCGAGGGTTAAATTGCTTAAAATAGTAATGACGTTATTTTTATGAACAAGAACCCTTCATTATACAGTAATGCCCTAGGATTAATAATATAATTACTTTTATTTACACTTATTTACAAGATCACAAGGTATTCTGCGCATAGAAAAGTCACGAGTCAAACGGGGTTTCGGTCACGTTATGACCGGGAACTACGACATAAAATGAAACATTGTTCGCTAGTTTTTCACTAAATGGATCGGGAGTAAACCATTCAGATTCTGTTAGTTCATAAACAGGATTTGTTTGTCGCACAGTCAGAACTGTGGGCAATGTCACCGGTTCAATAACTATATAGCCAGGTTCTTCTTTTATTAGTGGTGCATCCCAAAGTTCACTGGTTTGACCACTGGAGACTTCATCTTTCGTGAAAAACAACGAATCACGTGAAGTTGAATTTTCCACTAGTCTTGGCGAAACATCTTCGCCACTTAAAAATCTGGGAGCAAATCCATCAGCATTTGCTTCAAGCGAAGATTTTGATGAAGATCTTGTGAAGGTTTCTTGGGAGCTACTTTCAGATTTCTGCTTCGGAGACACATTGTTAAATGCAAAATTAGGCTTTCCTAAATCTTTTTCTTCAAATAAGTGAATAATTGCCTGTGGAATTCGCACCTCGTTCCCTTGCATCACATCTTCAACCATTCCTTTGCTAAATGGACGTTCCAAAATATTCGACTTTTTCGAGCCTTCATTCAATGTAGTCAGGAGCAAGACGTCATCTTCGTGTGTTGCCGTACGTGATGAAACGCTGTTGGACTTGTCACCTCCATTCTCGTCGTTTTCTTTAGTTGTCTCCTGTTGCGTTGCATTGTTTTCAACAGATGTAATGACAGATCTCGGAACAATGTAGAATTCTTCCGTCATATCCTCGAGTGCTTTCAGGATAATGTTTGATATGAGCGATTCGTTGATAGACGAATGAGCTTTGAGAAAATTGCCGTCGAAATGCTCCGAAAGAAAATTAGTTGACGAATCTCTGGACTGATGCCTGATATTGTGTAAAGTATTGCCATTTGGCAATGTTGGCATTACTTTCGTTATCGCTGTTCGTGTTGAGCTGGCAGTCAGTTCTTCCTGACTTTCAAAATGGTCCCTAGGAAATAAGGACGTTGTTTTTCTTTGATCGGGTCTGGGATTAATGAACTTAGACGAATCCAATGATTTTTCAAAATGGGGATTTAGCGGCAGGCTTTTCTCTGCCTCTTTGTGGACAATCACGCTTGTCGTTCTTGGTGAATTTTCAGTGATCTTTGGTGTTGATTTTGTGAGAAGACTGTGTTTTTGCGCCAGGCCATTTATGCTTTGGGCCATGGAAAAAAGAGTACCATCGTCCAAATCTAGGCTGTTTTCTGAGGTGTCTGAAAAGAAAGCCAAAGAAGAATGTTCTTTTTCATCACCCTCTCTGCTAGGCATTTGAACTAGTGGTGATGGGCTTGGGATTGGCGTTGTCGAAGATTGTGAAGAATTCGTTGGAAGATTGATAATCGGTCGTAGTTTGAAGTCATGTTTTGTTTCATTAGAAGCTTGTAAACTTGACAATCCCTCAATATCTATTTCTTCGTCAGGTTCTAAGGTTGTTAAAATGCTGTTTTGCTGCGGTGTGGTTTTGAAGGTAGCCAGGAGTACAGAGGCTAGAATTCCTTCCACATCTGCCGATGATGTGGAATTGAAAAAATTATATATGCTCGCATTCACGGTATGAAAATTATTTATGCGAAGAGAGTTACTACTTTTGTTATGAGTTTGGTCAATAGTGTTGGGCGGTATTTGGTGATTACTGCCGACTTCATCATCAATGCCGACTGTAATATTGATTACTGCCGACTTCATAATGTCAGAAAAAATGCTTTTGTAAAGATTGATTATTTTAGATTCGTTTAAGTTTGGGAGTTGCAAGTTTGATATCGATTTTCTTTTGGGTGCCAAAGTACTTAAATTACTCGAGTTATTGTTATGCGTTAGTAAGTCCATAACCAATAAACTTAATTGATTTATCAAAGTTTGGTTTGCAATTTTTTCTATGTCTGCTGTTGAGTTATTTTTACTCATATGTAATATGTCAGATAAATTAATGCGTCTGGAATCTGATTCAAGAAGAGTTTCACATATCACTTCTATTGCACCAAGTTTCATCGGCATAATTTTCGTTTGTTCCAATGTATCAATTCCTTTCGATCCATTTTTTTGTTCTCCTGTATCTACTAAAGAACGATTTTCATTACTAGCGATGGTGTTGGTTGTCCCGTTAACAATAGCATTCTTGTACACGTCATTTACCAACAAGTCTTCGGCATTTATAGCTTCTTCGTCGTTTATGTAGTACAAATCGTCTGGGAAAACTGGTGCATCATCACTGATCAGCAACGTCGCCTCATCGTTTGGAGCTTCTATTTGGTTCTCAGTAATGAATAAAACTTCATTCAAATTTGCCTTGTCAATGGAATTTTCACTTCCTTTCTCATCCGAGCCCAACAGGAAACTTTGCAAGAAGATTATAGGCGAAGAATTCAGAGAAGATATTGTAGTGCCTTGGTAATCAACTTTGGAGAAATTTGAGCTTGATCCTATCATAATGGACGAGTTCCTAACGTACACAATCGGTAAATTGAGCAAATTTGATCCTCCAGATGAGTCATTTGGAACTTTAGATTCGTAATTTGTGGCTTTAGTACTTGAGTTATTGGAGGTAATTAATTCACTGTCGACAAATAGTAACGTGTCACCATTCAGACCGGGCCGTGTGAGTCGTTTGTCATCAGATATTAGGACGTTATCGTATAAGTTTGGTCTTCTGCTTAAATTTTGCATTATTTCCCGATCTATAAAATTTGAACCTTTATGTCCAGTTTGAAAAACATTTGACAACATTGATGGAGTAACAGAGACTTGTCTATCTGTCTTCTGGGGCTTTCTATTTTTTTGCAATGAGACTTTTGTTTTTCTTTCGAACATTTTCTGAATATTTCTTGAACTTGGAAGCCACCCGTCAGAAGTACTGGGTATGAATTTAACACTTCCAGGTGTCGTTGTTTTACGAAATTCGCCATGTTCTATTGGTGAAAAAGAAAATGCGATGTCCCTATGGGATGGTAAAAAATTTTTCCATCGCAGCGATGCCTCTTGATCTGACGATGGGGATTCGGAAGAAGCTCCAGCTCCTCGATGCATTTGTTTTGTAACTGGAGGATAAAGATCTAAAAATAGATCGCCATCACTAATTAACTCTAATTGCGGGAACGTATCCTCAGTTTCCGAGTTAGTAGATAAAATTCTATTAGATACCAAGTTTGTAATGGAATAGAAAGGAGATTTTTCGAGTGGTACGTTATTGGAACGAAGAGTTCTTTTCTTTGATGAAGTTGAGCCTGATGTAAGCACGTCATGCGGGTTAGTTGCTAAATAAGATCTCTCTATAGAGTCGGTTAGTGAAGCAGAGTCGGGAGTTGCAAACATCAAGCCAAAGCTGCCCAGTCGCGAGCTATCTAGCAGCGGGGACCTGTAGAATGATTAGTAAGCGTAAGTAATGTACAGCTAATAATTTACCCCCAAGCATACAATAAAAAATTTGAGAAGTTAGGCAATACATGAGAACCAAATAAATATATGAAAACCAAACTAAATCGTAGTACATTAGTCTAACAACCAAGGGTAAAATTAAATGAACTATTGTTAATGTTTCCATGCAAACCCAGTGCATAAATTAAGTTTATTACGCCAACATGGATAGTTATGCGATAAGGTTTTGTAGAAATTATTCAGAGCATTTTTTTTAATTGGACAGTTTGAAAGAAGTTTGAACGCAGAGTAAATCCAATCGTTTGAGTGTAGTCATTAATATTTTTTCTATGGAAACAAAATTTCACCATTGGTACTTTTTCTGCTCGGTATTTAAAAAAGAATTTAACACAAGAATCTTCTGATAAAGTAACTACGCTTTGAACAAGATATTTACACGCTATTTGACAAGTTAGAGGTAATAGGACGATAGTGGTGCAAAGGAAAGCAGCTATTCAACAGGAGTGCGCTATTCTACAGGAGTACACTAGCTGTTAACCACTATTTTTCCATTATGTTAAGTAGTACAAAATTCAAATTGGAGTATCGATAAAAACAGCACGACACTTTTTCAAACTGGACAAAACTCCCAATGAGAAATCTATTTGGTAGTTCTGCCTTTCTATACTTGGTATTTTCTTTACTGAATTTTGCCAGTGTTGTGCCATAAAAAATTTAAAAATTTTGTTATTTTTGCTAATAATTAAAATCGACATGGATTTATATACATCAGAATAATTAAACGGCAATTAATTTTTTGTGATTGATGTTATAACTGTGAAAATGTATATTTTGCATGCAATTTAGCACTGCACTGGCAGAAATGTAAGAAGCCTAACAAAATTTACAGTCGCCCCAGCTTCTGGTAATCCAAATCAGAAGCTTTTCACTGGGAAGCGTTCCCATTAACGTGCTGCATTATTTTAACCGATTAATTGATTACTTTGACGAGCTCTACTCACTTTTGCAGTTGCTGCACGTCGAAATTTTTCGGTGCCTGCAATGGAATGTTATCATAAAATATAGTTCATTTATTTCATTGTCTTTTTATATATGATAATAACGGTCATAATTAAATTGAACTTCTTGTTAAGTTCCATTCATTTCATACAAATTTAACTTCTTTATAATTTCATTATTACTTCTTAATTGACGAATCGTTAATTATTCCGTTTCACTTAAAATTGAACATTTAATCATCATCTTCAGGTTATGATGGCATGTATGTTTGTTGATATTTATGAAAATTTTCTGTTGAGTGATAATTAATACTAGTAGTTCGTCGTCATTTACGTGCAAAATTTAGAAGTTGCCAGTTTTTGAAGGAAGGCAAAATAATCAATTTTACCACCAAATTGTTGTCTATCTAACGCCGTAGTTCAGTTTTGAATTTATTAACTTATACAGTTTAAGTTGTTTCCTGGCCGGATTTAAACTTAATAAGTTAATGGCCAAATTTTACGTTTCCTGGCCGGACCTGGTCTGATTTCTTGAAGTTAAATGCAAAAAAATTGTTTGGCCTTATGAAGGCAACCACTCACTTCGCCGAGTAGCCTGATGCTGACACCGTCTGTGAGGCCTCCTGTGATGGCTGCAAACTCGTCGGCAGAAATGACCACAGGCTTGATATCTCCAAATCCTCCTGCATCATGAAACATTCAATGTATTCAAAATTTAATGTTTTTTGCAGTAGTAGCGGTATATATCATGTATATGTCATAATTTAACTCCATCTTTATGATGTTGAATTGTGTGTAGCAGATACAGGAAGTAAATTCATGAATACTGTACTGCTGCAGTGAAGGTTCAAGCAACTGAATAAAAAACAAGGTCTCTGTAAGCAGCAGCAAGAAAGAAGTACGAAGCAGTTTTGGCAACGATTATGCATAAGTGAAGCATGAAAATCTAGCCGTAGCCACTCAGGAAATAGACCTCTCTTTAGTCATACCGCATTTCAAATTAATCTTTTATCCCTATTTAAAAAGCAGGTTTTTGACCGAAAATATCATTTGCAGATGATGAATGCGTATTTTTTAAAAAATAATAAAATTATGAAAACTGCCATCTGAAGAGAATCAATGAACAAAGCATTTTAGTGTACGAGGTAATGGGGCTGGATTGGGAGTTAGTTTGGAAGGTGATAATATGCACCAGAAATCCATATTGCTAAATTTCAAAAGATTTAAATAAAGAAACAAAAAATTTTTTATGATGGTCAAAAACTCATATGACCGGACTTCCATTAAGTTAAGAGGAGAATATTAAAATTTACGAGCGGCTCGGAAAATTTGACTAGTATCGTATCCTCTTCAGTCATGCCATGGTTTTTTATACCCAAGAAGAAGTAAAAATTTCACTGGAAAAAAACACAGTTTGCTTCCGGTCACTTTCTTTAGCGGAATCGTAGGGAGTACTAAGAATATTTTTCAACATCACCTTAGGAAAAACTAGACCGACCAATGAACATGATCCGGGAGACTTTTGTCAGGACAGGTTTCGGGTCGCTAATGGAATATCTAATGCAGCCCGCTAGCACCACGAAGCCAAAAGCCTTGAAGCTAATCCATTTTTACAAGGGATAATACGATATTTGGCTGATTAATATGAATGTACCACGAAGAAAAGGTTGAGAATCAGGAAGCTAGAAGCCTTCAATTCATTACTATTACACAAGGTATCACACGATTTAAAGCTTGATTTAGATTTTAGAAGGAACACACAAAGCTCGGAGATAATGATTAAGTCTTCTATAAATCACCGACACCCATGCCAACGGGAGTGATGGAAGGGTGCAGTTGGGAACCTCAAAAACAGCCACCAGATTTGCCAAGACGAATCAACTGGTAGCGGTAACTCAACAGTACATACCGGACAGGACGTTTGATAGGGAACCTTCAGCCGGATATTGTTGCAATAGTGTTCTCTCGCTCTGTGATATTTTTCTGGGTTCCGGTGTCTGTGAAATCGGTTGGTCTTGCTTAGAGAGTTCTGTACCAATCAATTTTTGGATTCCCAAATCATCAGATTTGGATTCCCGACCTCTCTTAGTTACTGGACTCTCTGTCTCCAGTGGAAGTTGGGGCAAATTAGAAAGCACACCTTGGAAGTCGTTGTCGCTGATGCCTCCTTGGGAGACGATGCTATTGGCAGCTGAACCGTGAAGCACTCTGAAAATTCATCAGAAATTTATTAAAACGTCGGGATAAAAATATTTCAAGGTAATTTATAGACAACAAGAGAACTATCAAGTGATTTATACTCTCTTCACTTATGTCTGTTATACTCACGACGGAGGTAGAACGTCGATTGGTGCAGGAGCATGCACTTCTCCTGACACTCCCGACTGCACGGAAACAGGAGCAGGTCCTGCTGGGAAGAGCACTTCATCGGAACTGTGTTGTCGGAAACTCTGAGTGAAGGTTGGTTGTAGCCGGACTGGATTAAGGCTGTTGGAGTCAGGACCCTCGTACACAGAAGACGGGGTATCAACCGAAATAATCGACTGTCCAGTAGTGGGTGCAATGTACGTCTGTTGAGGTTCAGCGGTGGGAGGGATATGTTCTCTGTAAGTACCAGAAGGCCCTAAAGGTCTGGATGGAATTGATAAGGCAGGTGCAGCTCCCACTGGAGGCATTGGCACCCATGGATTAACGTCACAGTTCTCGCAACTTTCCGCTGACACTTTGAAATTTTGTCCTGCTGCCAGAGAAGCTGAACTTCCAAATGAGCCTGAACCAGAATGTTGACTCGATGGAGCAACGTAATTATCAGATTCAGCTGAACCCGGAAAGCGGAAGTTTCCTGAGCCAGAAGATGGGGCACTGTAACTTTCTGCGGGAGGAGTGTATGAATCTTGCAACGATAATCCATGTGAGCTTTGTTGTGGTGGTGTGTAAACCTCATTCGAAGGTGGAGGAGGTGCATATCCGGTAGTTATTGCAGTCCCTCTGTTGAAATCCACAATTATGCTATTCTGTCCACCAGAAGATGCATGGGTCGTGACGGTTTTACTTTGTGGAGGAGCACCATATTGAGAAGACAATGATCCAGCTGACGAATGAAGGGAACCTGTGGCTTGTGAAGATGAAATGAAACTTCCACCTGCATGTGATCCCTTAATTTCAGCCGGTGCAGAGTAGCTCTCACTAGGAGGAGTGTACACTTCTGTTGGAGGAGGCGCATATCCCGAAGAAAGTTCTGAAACAGAGCTGTGAATGTCACCAAAACCTCCTCCACCACCATGACCACCTCCAAAACCTTTACCATGGCCTCCATGGGAGCCTCCACCTCCTCCATGACCACCACCGATACCTTTGCCATGACCACCATCGAAGCCTCCACCGAAATCGTGGCCATGTCCGCCACCAAATCCATGACCATGTCCACCTCCAAAGTCACCACCGTGACCACCGGATCCATAGCCTCCTCCTCCATTTATACTGATAATATCCGAAGGTTTTGGCGGTCCATGCCCACTGTGACCACCACCAAATCCGCCACCACCATGTCCATGAGGGACTCCGTATGAAGAAGACGGTGCTGCTGGTCCGTACAGAGATGGAGGAGGGCCGTAGGTTGACACTGGAGGCCCGTATGATGGCAATGGTTGTTTGTAAACAGGAGGAGGAGGAGGGGGTGGTCCGTAGATGATGATTGGGATGATTTCTTCCGTTCCTCCTTTTTTACCCCCAGAACCTTTACCTCCTCCCTTTCCGCCGCCTCCTTTTCCCTTACCGAAGCTCATGATGTTCTTGAAGGCTTTATCATAAGCCGATCCTGCTTTCTTTATTGTGTCCATCATTGAATCCAAGTATCCTCCACCCTTTCCTTTGCCGCCACCTCCACCGCCTTTGCCCTTCCCACCGCCACCACCGCCTTTACCCTTTCCTCCGCCACCACCAACTGGGATAAGTAAGACCGGCGGTGGAGGAGGATGAGCTTTAGGAGGAGGTCCATATGTCGCTGGGGGAGGCCCGTAAGATTTGGGCGGAGGTCCATAAGTCGGAGGTGGTGGTCCATATGTTGGTGGTGGAGGTCCGTACGACGTTGGGGGTGGCCCGTAAGAAACAGGTGGTCCGTAAGATTTTGGAGGTGGACCGTATGTTAAGATAGGTTCGAGCTCGTATTCGTAGTCATAGTCATCGCCTCCTTTTCCTTTGCTAAACATGCCCTTGATTCCTTTCATCAGGTCGAAGTCCCAGAATCCCTTGCCTTTGCCTTTACCACCTCCTTCATTGTGATCGTAGCTTTCATATCCTCCACCGTAGCCTTCATCGTATTCTTCATAGCCACCACCTCCACCACCTTTGCCTTTTCCTCCTCCGAATAATCCTCCGCCGAATAAACCTCCTCCTTTCCCTTTTCCTCCTCCGCCACCACCTTTACCCTTACCGCCGCCACCTTCATCAAGTTGGAGTAGAAGAATTTCTGCCCCATGTGGAATCGGTGGAGGAGCGTAAGAAGTCGGTGGCGGGCCATAAGTTGGTGGAGGTGGACCATAAGTAGCCTTTGGTGGAGGTCCATAAGAAGGAGGTGGAGGGCCATAGGTCGCTTTGGGTGGAGGGCCATAGGTCGCTTTGGGTGGAGGACCATACGTCGCTTTAGGTGGAGGACCATAAGTGGGAGGTGGAGGACCGTAGGTTGAAGGAGGAGGTCCGTAAGATGGGGATGGATGGTCAGCCAGAACTGTGGACATGAGTCCCAGCACAGCAACCAGTATCTGCAGGGAACAAAAAAGTTTAGTGGGGTTCATGTGATTACTGATGATATCATGAATTATTGATGGCTTTTTAAAAAATCTTGCACATGGATAAGACTAAAATAATAACGATAACGTTAGTTAATTAATGGAATTTGGTATTAATACTTGATTGAATTTGAACGTTCGCGAATTAGCATTTCGGCGATACGATCCATGCATTCCATCAATTTGCATTCCTACTTCATTTCTATAGTAAAACTAGCATGATTAAGTAACCATTTAGATTAGTGTTTGTTTTCGAATATTTATAGAGAACAAAATGAGAAACTGGTGAACCATACAATTTTTTTCCCACATTCCACATTACTCTTTCCATTATATAATTCTCTTTCATGAAGTGATCACCCAGAATGTTTGTTCACTACATCATAGATCAAGTAACGCTGCGAGCTTTCACCCGCTCCATTTTCAACAACAACCTTAATTCCTGCATGCTTACTTGACCAACAACTAAAAAGAGTAACTGCTGCTCGAGGCCACTTCCGTCTTCTCCAACATCTGTCTCTTAATCCTACTATTAACGAACGGACGCGAGTAGAAATTTAAAAACTGACCAGACCGCAAACAGGAACTTGCCAAAAAAACTGAGCTTGTGACATAGATATTACAAATAATTATATCTAAACTTGATTAAAGTGAATGTGTTTTGGGGAACCTCCACTAGAATAGATGAGGAAAGATTTCACTGTGATTTATTTCCAACCCTACTTTTTATGTACTGGAATCGCTCTGCTGTTGTTATTTACCCGATTTTCTCTTCTCCTATTTCCTTGACTCTGTATAGTATAACGTCAAGATATCAAGTGCCAGCAAATTAATGTTCCTGAAAATATTAGAAATTCCATTGTTCCAGTGAATCGGTAAATTTTTCAGCCGCTCACTGCCTTTAGAAATAGTAATGAATTTACTTTCACGTTTTGCGAATGGCTTTAACAAAAGTACCAAGATACTTTTATAAAAACAGCTGCACGAGTTTATCAGCCAATAACTGCAATCTCCAACGGTTTTTCTCTTAATTTTCATAATTATAACTAACACTGCTACCTGCTAGCACGCAGATAAAGTTTATAATTCGGTGCCAATCGCATTTCCGTTCTCGTCGCCAGCTACCGAAGAACAACCGCAAGCCGCTCCACGCACGCAGCCTGACGCTCTCGCAGTGAAAGTGTTTACCGGCGGAAGAGGATCTATCGAACGAACCCTCAGTCACGCCTCTGCCGTGTCTTTCTTGTGTTCTTTCTTTCTTTCTATGTCGAGGGCACTCGTGTGGATGATGATTGTCTACACATTGTCTTACGCGATTACTCAATATCTTACCAGGCCGTGCCTGGCGCTTATGCTCCAGCGCCATCTTGAGGTATACGCACTTCCTTATTCACTGAACTGCGCCGAAATGAACGGCACGAAAATTGATGGGATATCACGTAACGAATTGGGATCAATGCGTGCACGTGCAGACAAGGGTTATGCCGTAGAAATACCGAAGAAAAATTATAGGCAGATGAGTGATTCCCAGAAGCTTGAACGCAAAGTGTGCGCATAATCGCTCGATAATTTTAGTGATTCATGTCTACTGAGACGAGGTTTAATGATTTTGGTAGGAAAATCTACATGTTGCATTGATGATAAATGCCATCAATACAAATTTTTGAACCACATTTAATTTTCCATCACAGAAATTAGTACGACAATTCTTGCAAGATTTAACTTGCGCTCAAATCGCACAGAACGTGTTTTGGATGTTCGAGCAGAGCATGATTTTAACATATTGTACTACTGAACCAAGAACGGGATTTTTTGTAGCTTTGAATTACATTTTTAATTCGGTAAACAAACTTGGATTTCGAAGACAATTCGACTATGTATCTTTTGATTCCATTTAATTTTATTTATTAAAATATTCAACTGTGTACAGCTGACCTCGACAGGAGGTGGATGATAATATTTGAACAAGTTTGCCTCCATAACTGAAGGCATTAGCTGCTTGAACACGACGTCTGTTGTGGCCACCGAGTGAAAGTAAGGTTGACCGAAGCTGATATCTAATTATGATTTCAATCAGCCATACTTCTTAATGGTATTATGTTGATCATAGATAACGTACAATTATCTCTGTAGATTGAAGCAAATTTTCCAGGAAGATTGCGAATTTTAGGTCCTTCTTAATATTGTATTCTAATTAATAATGTCATATACAACAAGTCCTCGAGTTTAAAATCATAAAGACTCTGATTAACAACTTAGGTCCAAAAGAGATTGCTAAACTGCCTGAACATCTGTCAGCCAGAATACTATGTTCGCTGGAGAGGGCGAAGCATGTACCTTGTAGAAGCGCCCTCGAGAAAGTCGTGGTGCTGATACACTTAACTCAGCCGCTCCTTGGTCTGGGCTTTCTACTTAAGTAGGAAGGCTTTTAAAGGACGAGAAAGTCCCACCGAAAATCTTTTCCAGAACTATACTTCCCATAAATTTCTAGCATGGACTTGTGGGCTAAAGATGCACGTGCTATGAGTAGATACTTTATGCTTTGAGTACATATATACTTTTTGTGTTTTTATAAACTTGAATAAATGAATAAGTGAAGTAAAAGACCAGAAAAAAATTTCTGGTGTGACGCATTGAATGAATTGAACTACATTACTACTTCAATTCTGAAAAAATGTTACTTAATACAAGCATCACTTTGTATTTACATATAAAAAAACATTGAGCAAGGCAACGCAACCTGGAGGGTATAGACATCTTGATATCACATATCGTTGCTTCCGTCTATTATTCAGATGCACATAAACCAATTTCATTTACTAAGTTTCATGCAGACTCAAAGAAAATTTAGAAATTTCCCGCTAGACTTTGTCCACACTGCAAACAATAGCAACAATGAGCGACTGAGACACACAAAAGAATAACTGATTCACACAGACGAGCAACACAGCTTACACACCAAGGTCCCTCACAAGCGCTCTGCAGGAATTCATCTCCAAGCAAATATGTATGGCAAGTGAAATTGTTCATTGTTGTGTATTCTTGCGAACAAATTATTCCAATTTCAGCGTTTCAAGTAGCTAATTGACACAATAATTTCAGTGAATTTCTAATTCTTAGCTCCTTTAATTTTCACATTTAATACAGCTCCATTAAAAAATATAACTAAGTACATGATGCATCGATAACCGCAAGTAAATATTTTGGCCAAATTACAAGTGTTTGAATCAATTGTTATAAATTATGAAGAGCTTAAAGTTTTCAGTTATATATGTTTTCGGATAAAATTACGAAATTAAAACTTGATCAAATTTACATTCGTCAATGTAATTCATCGAGACTTCGCGTCATGAAAGAAAGCAACCAAACATGTACGTGAGAAGAGTGTAAGAGTCCTGCTGGATGCAGCACAATGCAGAAAATGCCAGCAATGCATCATTAACTATGATCGTTGATATTAAACGCTGATTTGTTCACAAAATCATTGCTTAACGCATAAAGTAACTTGTGAGCGGCGCTTAAAAATATCATCAAGTTATAAAGTATCAAACATCAACATCGCCGGTATTTGTACCATGAATTCTATAGAGATTTTGTACCAGGAAAGTCGTCAACAGGTACAACGCAGATCATTGCAAAAGCCTGAACTCTTGAGGAAAGTCACCAGGCAACTTCAAATGAACTGAACGTTGGGCATCTCACTGGCGCCTTCGCTTTCTCCTTGAGAGCTTTGAAATTTCTTCACTCAATTTTTGCCGACCATGGCTATAATTGTTCGCACCTGGCTGTTTATAATAATCACGCGCCATGCTGGCAATTTCATTAAATTAGTTCGCTTTAAACTGGATGTTTCATCTCATCACCTTAAATGTCTGCTGCGACTTTTTACCTACTTTAATATCGACAAAACTAAATTAGTTTCAATTGTTTTGCTTACAAGTTGGAGAGTATTCTTCAGTCGCCTTCCTATTTCCGTCTGTCTAGGCTAATCACGCTAACATTAAGCCGCTTTTAAGTTTCCCACAACTATTGGTCTGCATAGAATAATGTATTAAAGTTTTTATAGTATAGTAATCTTTACTTGGCAAACACCGTTTAGTGGCTGCTAATGCGGGCGATAATAACGCAGGCACAATAGAGCCGGCTTTTGGAATAATTAAAGACTTTTGAATTTGTTTCTAGAGGAAAATGCACTCATAATAAATCCAACTTTTCAACTATGAAACCAATATTCCAACCAATATTCTCGGGTCAGAATGTAATATTTTTTCCGGTTTTATTAAGTGTGATGAACCATACAGTTATTTGTACTGTAAATTGGACATCAACTATCTGCGCTAACGAACCTACATAACTAACTGTTACTGTAATTGTTACTGTTACTGTTCGCGTCCCTGACGACGAAGCGATGATATAAGCTACCTCGGTCGTCTTCACTTTCATTGACGCGCATGAGCGCTCGATGGCTCTGCGTGAGGGCAGGGATAACTTTCGCCTTGTTTAGTAAATAATATTTTCCTTGATACTCTGCGACTCGAAACACTACAGCCTCCCGCGCTTACAAAGACTAATGCGTAACGAACGTAACGAGTACACTGCAGATCAAGTGCACAGGGATACGAACTATAGAAAAGATTCTTAAAATAGTCTTGCATCAAGAGTAATCGTAGTCAACATTTTTTCTAATTACGAAAAGTGGTACAATAAAATCCTTTCCACACACGCATCCATGTGGACAATCTATCCCATCATGCCGGCACGCAAATCGAGCAACAGCGATGACCACAAAATAATCCCGTTTGCTGTTTTACAGTAGTGAAGGCATTGTGGATCTGAAAAGTGGTTACCAGTTTTTTATTGCGGTAACGACTCTTACAAAGTTGTTTCTCCTATATAGGTAAAATTCAAAATCTACAGAGCATAAAAATTTTATTGAAAATGGACTGGGAAGTAATTTAATTTTTGGATGCGAG